GTTGGTTGGTTGATTAGTTGTTTGATTGATTGACTGGTTGGTTGGTTGGTTGGTTGTTTGATTGGTTGATTGATTGATTGATTGGCTCCCCCTGTGTGTGTTGTGCTGCAGGATGTTCGTGGTGCAGCAGATCCCTGACAGTAACCTGGTGATGGTCGTCACTCAGGCCGACTGCGACTGCTCCCGTCAGTATGGACCGATCCTGCTGGAGCCCAAAGAGATCAAATATATCCTTCAGCTGTGTGTCGGTCTGCAGACCATCAACGTTTTATTATTCTGTTTCAGAAAAGTAGAGCTGCTTCAGTGTGTCTGTGATGGCTTAAGAGAGAAACAGTCTCACACAATGTTTCTAATGTGAGGTTTAAAACTAATCTCAAACTTGTTACGCTGTGTTCACACCAAACGCCACGAGATTACATTCAAAGTCGCGAAATCTCTGAATTACATCAGATTTGTAGTATTGTTTACTTGTTGTACATGTAAGCTGTAAGCTTACTAGTATTTCTGTTGGACAGATTTTGTGTAAATGAACACATAAATGTTCAAAGGATGCTGAGCGTTAGTCCTCAGCGATGATCTGTTTTCTCCTTGACGTCAGTGAACATAACGCCACAGTGAAGTGCAACAGGATGAAATCCCAGAAGGTGCGGCGGCGTCCGGAGTCGTGCCACGCCTACCACCCGAAGGTGAGCGCTGAGGCTCTGAGTTCTGTCTCTAGACGTTTAGACAACAAGTGTTAAGAGATGATGAAGCAATTTAGTGACAATTATAGCAAAGTATAAAGTCTTAAACGTCATGTTAAGAGCTGTTAGGCTTGTCTTGTTCGTTTTTAAAATACTACACTGAGCTATTAAAAGCTGCTAGAAGAAGCCTAAATGTTGTTTCATTGAGAGAACCATGAGAGACTCTCACCTCCTGTTTTAACGAGCCGAAAGGCCGTCTCTGTATAACATACTGATACGATGTACACTGATAAATAATAAAGAAATACATCTCCAACCAATAATGATGTAAAAGTATTGAACTGTATTGTTGTTTTCTCTTAAACAGGAAGATGCGAAGGAGTGCGGCGGGGCGTCGGCCATCTTCCTGTCGCTGTCCGTCTTCTCGGCCTCTCTGCTCGTCTCGTTGCTCCTCCACCATTGGACGTAAAGAAAGGACCAATCAGGAAGCTCCGAGGGAGGCAAGGATGTTTCTTTTTTTTTTAAATTCCCACGAAGAGACAACAGGACATCGTTCAGACGAGCTTCGACTCGCTCTGCGGTGGAGATAAAGGGCTAGTACGTGATTTAGTTTTTTTAGACTTATTTTTGCTGAACTATAAACTATAAACAAAGAGTCGTCATCTGTTGAAACAGACTTCGATGGACGGACGTAAATGGTGCAGCTCGTGTGGCGAAACGTTGCCACTACACCCAAAGAATGTAGAGTCTTTGTAGCTTTTTTTGATACAGAAGTATTGTACACAAAGTAGAGTTTTACATTTAAATGATTTACAATAAAAAATAAAATAAAAGTAGGATTAAAAATAAGGGTTGATCTTTAAAGTGGCAAACTAAGACTTTCATTTACATACATTTCTGTTCTGATTAAACCTTTGATAAAAAGCGTTAAAATATTTATTTATTGTCAGTTTTACAGATTTTTATTTTGTACACAAACAAATGGAAACTATTCACACAATTCTGAAAACTTGAAGCTCATGTTTTAACAAAACGACTCATAAAATATTAAAATCATAAATCAAGCAGGACTGCCACTTTAAACGCTGCTCAGCTCTTTGGGAGGTCAAAGGTCAACAGAAAACTCAGTGGGTGGATGTTAAAAGGACAAGTTATTCACTAAGAAGTGTCACACAGACCCTTCACCTGCAGGTAACCTGGATTTAAGACTGAAGATAAACCAGGTCCAGACTCAGCAGCTGAAACTGTAACCTTGGATACAAAAACAAAGACTTTTGTGAAAGTTAGATGATTTCTATCAAACACAGAAGTCACATGTTACACTTCCTGTTTCTCTGGACAGGAAGAGTTCTGTTTCCTGTGAGTGAAAGAAATGATTCCACTTTCTCTTTCTAAGGAAAACATCAGGAAGAGAGTCTAACCATCGATCCAACAGTATTTTAATGACTGTTGGTTATTTGTAACTTCATTCTGACGTCATGTTAAAGTGTCACAATAAGAGCAGCGAAAGCAGTTCGTTGGTGGAATAACTCTCTTTAACATTTACAGAGTTCTGTTTGTTTGTCTCATTAAAACCACTGGAGGTGTTTACTTAGTCACTTTTTAATAATTCTGATTATATTGTTTTTACTGTTTAACTAACTCTGCTGTAGAGATTCAGGAAACTTAAAACAGTGTCCAGCCTCCGAATAAACCTAAAAGCTACAGAAGTTAGCCTCTTTGATTAGCTAACGTGGCTAACTGCTAACTACTTATTCACCCGCAGCAATAAAAGAACATTTATTATTTATCGTTTCCTGAATCTCTTCAGCAAAAGTGATTATTATCAAAAGTGCAGCTCTGACATTTGAAACTGCACTCTTTTAAATTTTGATATAAAGAATGTTTATTGTTCATGTTTCCTGATTTTACATTATTGGTTCAATACATTTATATCACTTCTATGAACTTTAGAAACAACTTCATGTTCATCGGTTCATGTTAATAAAGTGGAACCTCCTGCTGTTAACGTTCACATTCTGCATAAAGAAGAATATATATATATCGATAGATCTATAGATATAGATAGATAGATTAGGAGGAAAAAGATCCTCCTGTAGATATTTATTGATCACTTCTTTCATGTTTTTGATGATTTCCAGTCGAGAAAAGTTTAGACAAAAGCGTCTCATTTATTATTATAAAGATAACGAATGTTAATCTGAAACATATTTTATGTTTCTGTTGCTTTTATTCTTAAATACACATTTGCAGAAATCAGTGGACAAGATATACAAGCTGCCTCCCACATATTAGACTATGAATTAATATTAATTTACGCCACATTAATGTGAGAGAAGAGATTTAATTTAAATTTGAATGGCGTCTTTAATTGTTTGTCATGTTAATAAAGCAGCTTTAAATGTAACCTTAACGTTCAGAAGTCTAAATCTTAATCAGAAGTTATATTTTACTATTTAAACATTAAATCATTATTATTCGTTACGAAGGTGCTGGTTTGGTTTTCAACCAAAAAGAAGAAGATTGTTACTAAAGACACAAACTTGACATCACACGTTTTATTTCTTATTTTAGGAGAGTTCCTTTTGAAGCAGTTTGTCACCAAATACAACAGAACGTCTCGTACGTGTTTAGAGAAGATGATCATCTCGGCTTAATTATAACAATCATAGAGCTGATTATATTCCTTTAATTTAACTCTCAGAGGAGCTGATGATTAAAAACATGTCTGAGGAACGTTTCTTCCTTCAGGGAGAATTAATATCAGAGTTCCTGTTATATTTATCACGTAACATCTTTACAATCATTTTGTACAGCGTGGAGCGTTTGTACAACAGAAACTAAAGATGAAACAGTCGCTGCGCTTTTATTATTCAGCGACATGAAGACTGAACAGAGTGAATCACGACCGCGTTTACAGGCAATAAAAGAAAAATAATTAAACAAAATAGAAAGTTCACATCGATTCTGAAAGTATTTTGTTTGAAAATCGGCTGCAGAAAAGTTCTGACAGTTTTCTTCCTCGTTATCAGTCGAGGAGCAAAAAACTACTTTTTATGAAATAAATAAAAAAGAAAAATGAGCATCAGTCACAATGTCTAAAAAACAGTCTCGCATTCCCGACGCTCGAGCGTCTTCAGGTCCGAACTGATCGCAGCTTCTTTTGATGACTTCGTTTGTGTCCAAATAAATCCACGACTCCGTCCAAACATGTGAAACATGAACCTGAGAGAAGCAGACTGAGCCCACGAATATTTAATCTGCAGAGTCAGCGTTGAGTTTTTTGCATCTGGGATGTGGGTCTGGGATGTCTACACGGCGTGCTGTTTGTCCTGAGTTGGGCTCGTCTCCTCGTCTCCTTCTCCTCCTCCTCCTCCTCTCTCCTTGTTCCAGTCTTGGAGGCCCTCCGGCAGGCTGGTGTCCTCCTCGAAGCTCCCCGTCCCCTCCACGAAGTCCTCGTACGTCGACTTCTCCTCGAATGGCCGCGGGCCGAGCAGCTCCAACATGTCCGCCTTGTCCAGGACCTCCCTGTCCAGGAGACGCTTCCCCACCTGAGGAGGAAACATCAGGGATGAATGAGGAGCAGCACTATTAAATTATTCTGTATCTGCTCTAGAATCTATAGGTAGATAGATAGAGTTATTTTACTATTATAACCTCTCATGTGAGCGCACACACACACACGCATTGATAAAGACATGGCTCTAAAGCAGCTGTTTCACTAGAGTAAGACATGACTGAGCTCTGGTAGCTGTTGGAGGTCTGAGTGGAACTCTTCTCACCAGGTCCACCAGCTCCTTCTTGTCCTCCACCAGCTCCAGCGTCCTCTGGTACGCTCGGTCCACCAGCTCTCGGACCTCGGCGTCGATGAGCTCGGCCGTGGCTTCGCTGTACGGCTTCTCCAGGACCATCTCGCCCTGCCGGGGCAGGTCGAAAGACACCTGACCCACTTTATCGCTCATCCCAAACTGGACCACCTGAGAGGGGGGGGGGGGGGACCAGGTGTCACAGCAGGAGAAACACTCAGGCTGATTCCACACTAATGCGTTTCTGGTTTTAAAAGAGGTTTCAGCAGCGTTTAGACGTTATTACCGTCTATACGGGCACGCATCGCATGACTGTTCACGTCATGTGATGCGTGCAGATGGAAGTGTAAACAGGAAGTAGATCGGTTGCTAAACTACAGAAATGTGGTCAACACTCGTCTCTGAAGTCTCTGTCGTACCGGAGACATTTAGGCTTTTGTTCCTTTACAGTTTCTGTGTGAACGTCACAATCGCTGTGCAGAACAAAATAAGCATTTGTGTCCGTCCTCCTCAAACGAGACTTCAGCTGGACACATCAGGTGTGTGTGTGTGTACCTGGGCGTAGGCGGACTGCGTGACCTTCTTCAGGTCGTCCTGAGCTCCGGTGGTGATCCTGCCGAAGAAGATGTGTTCGGCCACACGACCCCCGAGCATCATGCACATCCTGTCGAACAGCTGCTCCTTGCTGTACAGGTACTGCTCTCTGGGGAGGTACTGAGCATAGCCCAGACCTTTACCACGGGGGATGATGGACACCTGGGGGGAGAAGAAGGAAAGACACACACACACACACACACACACACACACACACACACACACACACAGCGTTTAACTTGCAGGGTTCCAGCTCTGTTAGAATAGATTCATATCGTTGTAGAACATGTTTCCTGTTGGTTTTATTGGTGTGAGGTATCGGTACCTTCAGCAGCGGGTCGGCGTGCTCCAGGAACCAACCCACGATGGCGTGACCCGCCTCATGATACGCGACGGTCTTCTTCTCTCCGGGCTGCAGCACCTGAGTCTTCTTCTCCAGACCTGAACACACACACACACACACACGCTGATGTTTGACTGTAAACAACAACAGCAGACATGTAAATGAGGAGGTGTTGGTGACGCTGACCTCCGATGACGCGGTCGATGGCCTGCTCGAAGTGTTTGGCGTTGACGGACGTGTTGAGATGTCGGGCGGCGATCAGAGCCGCCTCGTTGCAGACGTTAGCGATGTCGGCTCCTGAAGACAAACAACAATGTTTAATAAACATGAACAATAAACTAGAGATCATCTCTGGAGGCGCTCACAGCTCTAGAAATTGGATTTCATCTTTCTTTCATGAAACCAAATCAAAAGGTACTTTTCTATAAATAATTTACGTTTCATACACTTTTTAAATGCACATTAAGAGACTTATGTTTGAAATAAACTTCATATTTATAAGAATCTTTGTATCTTCATACAACAATCATGTCAAATCTCAGGAAGTGAACTACTTATTGTTCTTAACATTAAAATAAACTGCATAAAAACACAATTGGTTTGGAATTGTTCATTTTGACAACATTGTGTAAAACAATAAAGTTAATGTTCCACATTAAGACACAAACGTTACAGTATTTCATCCACTTTAATAGTCCAGGAAGACTTTAAGGACCGTGGTTTCACACAGACTGTAATAAATCTGATCTCATTGTTTTTAAACATTTGATTTTAAAGTGTTTCTAACAAACAGAAGTCTACGTTGAGTGTGTTTAGGTCTCACGGTGTAAACGGAGCCTCCAGAGCTGAACACAAACTCCTCCGCGTCTTAACTCCTCTACTCACTCCTTCATGGAACTGAACCGTGACGTACCGGTGAACCCCGGCGTGGCGGCGGCCATCTTCCTGGCGAGGAAGTCTTTGTCCATGTTGGGGTCCAGCTTGATCGGCCGCAGGTGGACTTTAAAGATGGACGCTCTGCCTTTGATGTCCGGAGGACCTGAGAGAAGAAAGGAAAGTCTTTAAAGACGTTACAGAATCAGTGACGTGAGAAAATATGAATATTGTGTTTCCGGATGTGATCTTTTATTTTATTTAATGTTTAAACGTGTCGTCTCATTGGTGCAGAACAATCAGCTCCATTTGGTCCTTTTCATTGGCTGTTCAATAGATAGATATCTACTTCTATCTGTTGAACAGACAATACAAAGGACCAAATGAATACTTTGTCTATTAAGATAAACACAGAAATGTATTCAGTAAATATATGTGTACATATAAAACATTTAATTTAGCCGGTTAAAGTCCAGATAAACTGTGTTTTTCCTTTATTTATTTGATATTAATAATCACAGAATGATGTTCTTTTAAAGAATATAGAAGTAAATACAATGTTGTTCCTGATGTGAAGCAATCCTCACTAAAATTTTGATACTTAATCATTCGAGTCATTTTCAAGCAAAAGAAAAGTCAAATATTACCAAGAGACATTGACGTTTTAAAAGACCAATGAATGATCCGTGGAATGAAGAAATTAATCCCTAGATTAACAGATCAATAAAGAACAACTCTATCTGTTAACCCGAGGAGCTCCAGTCACACAAACAAAGGTTTTTAGGTTCCTTAGAGTCAGAGAACAAACAACGAGTTCCACCAATCAGCCGTCAGAACCGTACCGATGTAGATCTGCCTGTCGAAGCGTCCCGGTCTCATCAGAGCAGGGTCCAGGATGTCGGGTCTGTTGGTTCCAGCCAAGACCACCACGTTAGTCGCCGTGTTAAAACCTGCAGAGAAACAAAATAAAACAGTTAAGAGGATAAAAATCAACTTTAAGAAGAGAGAAGTTAAAAAGGGGAGGAGCCTACCGTCCATCTCCACCAGCAGCTGGTTCAGAGTGTTCTCTTGTTCACTCTGACCTCCGAAGTTCCCTCCTCCCCTCTTCCTCCCCACGGCGTCGATCTCGTCGATGAAGAGGATGCAGGGAGCGTTCTTCCTCGCCATGGAGAACATGTCCCTCACCTGAGGAGGAGGAGGAGGAAGAGGAAACAGTCAGCGATGAAGAGCAGCCTGCATTTAAGAGTTTCTAAATGCCAAGTTGTTGCTAGAACGGACGTCAACACACGTCATTGTTGACTGATGCTTCTTGTTGTTGACAGTTTGCTTCATTTATTGTTCATTTTGTTTCTGTCACGTTACAAGTAAATAAACACATAAAACTGTCTCTTCTTGTTCATCAACATGAATCCTATTACTTTATGAAATTAATAATTAAACCGGTGTAAGATAAACATAACGTCACTTTAAATGTTGCCGCCGCAAGTAATTGTGGGACGGCATTATCTCCGTTCCTTTGGTGAAGGAAGGTCCAGTGTTTCCTTTGCTAAAGGAGCTAGGAAAGGAAGCATTGAAGCACCTTTTCAGAGGATTAAATATTAACACTAATATACAAACACAGCACATATTACAGTTTTATACGGCCTGAAGGTTCATTAAACTGGAGCTGCAGGTCGATCCACCGACGGCACGTTTTATATCACTGATGCATGTGTAGCCGTGTGGCCTTCACAGACCTACGTGGAGTCCTGCTGTCACTCACCCTGGCCGGGCCGACGCCCACGAACATCTCCAGGAACTCGGAGCCGTTGACGGTGATGAACGGCACATTGGCCTCTCCGGCTGTGGCTTTAGCCAGCAGAGTCTTCCCCGTCCCAGGAGGCCCGGACAGAACGGCACCCTGGGAAACCGACACGACGAGACGCTTAACGCCTCTGAACAACAATAAACTCACATCTACGAGTTCAAGTCTGTGTGTGTGTGTGTGTGTGTGTGTGTGTGTGTGTTCTCACCTTGGGGATCTTGGCCCCCAGGTCCTGGTACTGCTGCGGGTTCTTCAGGAAGTTGACGAACTCCATGATCTCCAGCTTGGCCTCCTCACAGCCGGCCACGTCCTTGAACTTCACGTCGATGTTGTCCTTCATCATCTTCGCCGTGGACTCGCTCATGCTGAAGGGCCCGCCTTTCCCGCCGCCAGCGCCCCCTCCCATTGGCCCCCGCCGCAAGGTGAAGAGCAGGAAGCCAATCAGCAGCAGGGTGGGAATCATGCTCATCAGAAAAGAGCTGACGGGGAGAGAAATGATTTATTACCTCAGTAAACATTGTAAACATGAGTTTATGGTCTCA